GCCAATGGTTTCCGAATCAATTTCAATCTCTCATTTCAAAAGTATTAAATTTTTCGCCAAAACTAAGAATTGTATTTCCCATCCCTTTAAAGCCTGCCGAAGAATAAAACCATTACACCAAATGAGTAATCCAACCAAATTAAAAAAATGAACCAAACAATGCCCAAAGGGAGGTAGGTCGGCGGCAACTAAGTATGGCTGACTGGTTAATTGAATGAAATTAATTGAAAAATCTTTGGACAATATGTTCGTTCAATCGTTTTGGCCATTCCCTTGGCCGTTGGTGGTGTGTCTGTATTTATCAGATGTTTGAGCCGCAACGGCGGAACATAGGAAAATAACTGATTTTCCTTGGTAAAGAACAAAAGCAATGGCATTGCCAACGACGACAATGACAACATGTTGTTAAGTGATTCTCTATAAAATTTCTGTCTGCTCGCAACATATGGTCGTGTACAATGTGTGCTGTCACCCCCGCTACGCCTTTTGTCCCTGTCCAATGTTTTATAGTTATCTGTTTATAATAGGTACAAATAAAAATGCCAACAATGTGTACATATGCCCTGTTTGAATACGTGAGTGGATCTCCTTTTTACCGTGCAATACACAAATGTTAGGATAACTTTTAATACAAATTGGGGTCTGTATAAATGCAATACAGAAACAAATTATGAAAAATAATTATACTTTTCTTTCGCTATTCATAATTGGCATAACGGCGGCTTGTTTAATGATATGAAGGTGTTTACATAGTCATTATTTTTTTGAATATATTATTTCAGCTCATTATGAATTGTATTGCGACATCCTCAATAAGATCCCTATATTCAACTTTTTGTAAAACAACAAAAAATCCCCATTATAAACGTACAATCTCGGCGTTTTGTAACATTCTCTAACAAACAGCCAATTTCTTCTCAAAACGATATTTCTGTTTCTCTCTCGTTTTTCTGGCAGTTTCTTACATATTTTTTGTTATAAAAAAACAAAAATTTTAGGGAAAAGTAGGGGAAAATATAGTTGCTCCTAACGCCAAAATATGAAATCGGCTGAATATGATATATGAGAACTCCACCTTAATCTCAATTGAGAGTAGGCTGTAATGTAGTATGATGATCTTAATACCTCATAATAGGACCATTTTTCGACTTTTTTTGATTTTTTCAAAAAGTTCCGATACAAAAATACCAACCCCAACATAGCTCCAAAACACCTAAAATTTTTTGGATATAAGTCCAACACCAAACGGTCATACTTCCCATGGGGATTATGGCGAAAAAACCGGGCATAATACCCATAATTGCAATGGGGGTTATGTCCGGGCACCTACATTACGCATTTCGTGCACAATAAACGTGAAATGGGGCGAAGCTGTATTTGGAAGCCATATCTAAATTCAGTCGGATTTCTACCAAAAGCATTTGTCCAAAGGAAATGTGCAAAAATTCATCTCAATTCAACATTAAATGCGTCCTGTACTTTGTTTATAAAACTACAAGGACAAGTAGATGGAACTATTGTAATCCTCCATTTTTCATTTTCATACTTCATCTAATACAGATAAAAATATTGGTATGGGCAAAATTACAAGAAATTCGAACACTTTTTATCCAATTTTATGCGATATCATAAATTCCATATTTATCTTAGGTGTCTGATTAAGGAATTATTTTTAAGTAAAGAAAGTTGTAAATAAGCTCAGACTTGTTTCGCAAGTTAAGAAAAAGAAAAAAGTATTGAAAATTATGACCGTTTGTAGGTGAGGACCAGAAGGGGTTCGCAGATATATATCATCTTCACAACAGAACTTGTGTTAGCAAAAATGTTTGTGTGTGAAATTTTAAGAGAGTTGGATGCTTATTTATTTTGTTTTTCAAATTCTTGAACCCTATGTGGGGGATGTTCCAGAAGAAATGGTCCGATCTCTATCATCTTTATATCAGATCTTGTGTAGATGGATGTACCAAGTTTGAATGAAATCGGATGGTAATTTCGAGTTTTATGAACTTCATCGATATTCAATATTTTAACACTTTTTGGGGGAGGTACCAGAAGAAGTGAACCGATATATCTCATCTCCACAGCAGATCTTGTGTTAGTAGAAATAATGGGTTGTGTGAAATATAAAGAGAACCTGATGCTTATTCCGGGTTTTATAAACGTTTTGGTTATTTGAAATTTTGACCCTTTATGCGAGAGGTACCAGAAGGAATGGTCCGATCTCCACCGTCTTTATAACAGATCCTGTCGAATTCAAATGAACCAATGGTATATGGAATCGGATGTTAATTTCGCGTTTTTTGAGTTTCATGGATATTCAAAATTTCGACATTTTGTCAGGGAGTGGACCGATATGTTCCATCTTTTATATTGGGACGTGTAAAATTTGAAGGCAATTGGTCTCTTACATAACATTTTAGAAGAGTTTTAATTATTCAAAATATTGACCCTTTGTGAGGGAGTTACTTGATGGAGTGGACCGATATTGTAAATTTTCTCACCAGACCGAGCACTGACGCAAGTATAAAGATTTGCAAAGTTAAAACAAAATCGGATTATCAATCTTCTTTCTGTGCAGGAAATGTATTTTTTGAAAATTTCGACCTTTTGTGGGAGTTGCACCAAAAGGAATGAACTGATATTGTCCATCTCCGAACTCGATCTAAGTTTCACAAAAATATTATGATGTATCATGTTTGGACCAAATCGGATACTTTCTTCGAGAATTATCGTGAGCACCAACCAGCCAGACAGATAGACGGACGGACGGACATAGCTAGACCGACTCCTTAAACAGATTTGTCCCAAAGAGATCTAGGGTCTAAAACCGTTATTTCGACTAGGCAAGTTTTGACCGTATCAAATGATATATACCCTATCTAGCCATATGACGGAGGGCATAAAAAATATCACAAATATTACCGAAAAATATACACATTTTTTATACCCTACACCACATAGTGGTAAGGGTATGTCTTTGTGCATTTGTTTGTAACATGGAGAAGGAAACGAGATAGAGATAGAGTTCCTTTTGGTAATCAACTTAGAATCACATTTTGAGTCGATTTATGCATGTCCATCCGTCTGTCCCGTTATTTTTGTAAACAAAATGCAGGTTCCATTTATTATTCGATTGAGGTGAAATTTTCTAGATAATATTTATTTGGCTCAAGGACGAACCCTATTGAAATTTGTGAAAATCTGTCCAAATTTAGATATAGCTCCCATATATATCTTCATTCCATTTTAGGTTTCTTGTGCACCAAATGGCTAATATCAGTATAAATGGTGTGAATTTTGCTACATCCGACCGAATTCAGCCTACAAGAATGTGCTTCAAATTTGGTGAAAATCAGTTTAGATATAGCTATAGCTCCCATATATATGTTTCATCCGATTTTGTGTTTAAGTCCCTCACATTCGTAAAATACACCCCACAAAAATGATATTTAGTACCAGATAATAGATTCAGCCCAGCAAAACATGATTCAAATTTTATCAAGATCGGTTCAGATTTGGATATAGCTATAATATATCTTCCTCCTATTTTAGGTTTCTTGTGCACCAAATGGCTAATTTTAGTCCAAAGTCAGTGAATATTGGACTTCCAAGCAAATTCATCCAAGAAGTTAACACTTAAAATTTGGTGAAAATCGCTTCAGATTTGGTGTTTAAATCTCCAACTTTCAGAATATGCACACTACCATAATCATATTTTGTACCAGATATCTCATAGAGCTCAAAAAAGCCCAATATATATCTTTCTTTTACGAGAGCTCTACTATACATGCATAGTGGTGTAGGGTATCATATAGTCGGCCCCGCCCGACTTTTGAGCTTTCTTTATTGGTTTAGCATCTTTTTATGCTATTTTCTTAGATTTTATTCTTTTCTGCCATTCTGAATTGGTGAGAATTGTCAAAATTCGGTTTAATGGAAACTTTCGTATTTATTACATAAAAGTTATGGTATATTTCACCAGCTAAATATTATTGGATGACCATCCAAATTAGTAGCTTCTGCCTAGTCCTAAACTCTAATTCCGTGCAAAATTCCGTGTCGGTTTGTCTATAATTGTGGCCTGTAGAGCAACTGCAAAATCGAGAATTTTTTTGGTTTTTGGTCTATTTCAACTAAATATTTTGCGATCAACTCCAAAAAACAATAGGGCCCACCTCCATTTTCAATTTCTAGATCGACTCAACTCGGCCAGGTAGGAAGATCCATATATAGTTCCCTATGTTCTCGACAAATATTTCATGGTGTTAAAATTCTCCCATAGTGTTGTAGGGTACAATTAAATTTGGTTTGAGCTTATGTAGGACCAATATTTGTATATAAATTGATTTCTACAACGTATTGCAGAATTGTAAATAAACACTGATTCAGTTAATTGTGAATATCTCTTATCTCAATACATTCCCCAACTTGCCACACGGCCCCCTCCATAGCAAAACACATCTCTCTGAAAATTTCAATGTATACATACATATAAAATGCAATATTCTCCATAAATTGTTAAGAAATGTAAAGAATTCAACGTAGGTTTCCATAAGGTAAGGAAGGTCATGTTGAACACAAAACGATTTCCACATGATTGCCTCCCAAACATCCCCCAATGGGGTTAGTTGATTTACAAAAACAAAAAAAAACAATCAGTTAATATATTATTTTTTTCTACTCTGGAACTCAACCATGTCACCATAACCCATTTCACCCTGATTTGGGAGGTGAGGTGATTATGACAATGATGAATTGACCAGACTCCAGTTCATTCATTTATGATGTAGCTTGTTAATACTCATGAAAGCGTTTTTATGTAGCATTTAAACAAACATTTGGTAGTTAAAGATACATTTGTAAAACTAATTGTTTACCCCCCCCTATCCCCCCTTTCATTCACATATTTGTATTTTGTATTTACCACCCATTCATTCATGTATTTTCTTTGTTCTCCCTCTCTCTGTTTCTCCATTCGTTTTGGGTATGTGTCATTTTAGATTTACGTGTAACAACCGATTCATCATCCCAAATCAACCAGAATCGCAATTCATTATACGCCGGTGAGGTGAAAACCCAACATCATCATGATGCGCCGTCCAGCAACCAAATGATGGCCATCAACACGACCACCAACACAACTGGTGGCGTAGTTGGCGGCGGCATTACATCGGTGTCATCATCGTCGTCCACACGTCTATTGAACAGTGTTGTTGTGCCCAAGAAGTCCCACTTAGCGATGACGACAACCGATGCCAAAGACGACAAACATCAGTCACACTCACAACCGCATCATGTTCCAACATCCGTTGTTGTTGTCAACAACAGCGACCTAGAATTGTCGTCATCGTCCAACTCCTTCAAGGATCACAAGAAATATTCAGAGAAAAATCATGGAATTAGTGTAGAATCACGTCATGGCATTATCGGTAAGTTTTCAACAAATACTACTACTGCTAAAACCTCCTGCATCCACCTTCCATTTTCAAAACTGCAATTTGTATTTAGAAATTCATTCATTCATCCATCCATTCTCAAATTCCAAACCCATTAGCATTGCATGTGTCCATCTTTGAGTATCGTTCGTTTACCTTGAGATTTGTCATCCTGTCATTCGAGTGAAAGCATGTTTATGCAAGAAAGTATGCAAATAGTTCACATTGCATGTTTCAGGTTTCTCAATATTGTGACTAATATACCATAAAGAGATGACAAAGTGTTTACTCTAATGCGATTGATATCGGGGATGGGGCAAATGCCAAAAGTGAGGGTATGGGGGGCTAAATTACATCAAGTGGGTGTTATGTTGCAAATGGTGTGTCTTCGTTTAAAATGTAAAATTGATATGTTGGATAAATGCGATAAATCTATTGTTCAACCAATTTGAATAAAAACAAGTAAAAAAGCAATAAGTTCGGCTGGGCCGAACTTTGAATACCCTCCACCATTTGGGACGAATTAGAAAAATTTGAAAAAATTAAATTCCATTTATATTTCTGGTAAAATCTTTAAAATGCCGAATATCGGAAGGTGCCGATATATTGGGGATATTCGATTTTGTGGTCCTATATAGACAATTCTATTTCAGGGAATAAAGTACTCACGCCGAACTCCTTGTGAGCAATTTCAGACAATTCCATTGACAAATGTGGTTAAAATCATAAAAATACCAATTGTCTGGGGATACCGTTATATGAGAGCTATACGATATCGTGGACCAATATAGATAATTCTTTTCTAAGGGATAAAATACTCACAAGGAACTCCTTGTGTAGAATTTCAAACAATTCGATTAAAAAATGTGCCTAAAATCATCAAAATACCGAATATCGGGGGTACCGATATAGGGGGGCTATACGGTATCGTGGACCGATATAGCACGCCTTCGAACTTGACCTGCCTGCAAACAAAAGACAGATCTGTGCAAAATGTTAGCTTCCTATATTAATTCGTTTTGACGGACAGGGCTAAATCGTCTTAGAATTTTACGCTAATCAAGAATATATATATACTTTGTTGGGTCTAAGATTATTATTTCGATGACTTACAAACGGAATGACGAACTTAATATACCCTCCATACTATGTATGGTGGAGGGTATACAAATTGGGAACCTAAAGGTAGCACATATCGCTTATTAATTCAAAGAGTGGCATAACTCATAAAATGCGTTTTTATAACCTCAGTCATATGGCTACAGAGAGTATATTTCATTTTATACATGCCTCATCGAAATAACGATTTTAGACCTAGGTCTCTTTGTACCGAATCCGTTTCAGAGCATTTGGAGTCGGTACAGGGGTGTCCGTCCGTCTGTCTCTTTGGCTGAAGCGCACAATAACTCTCAAAGGCAGCAACTTCACACCCTCCTCCCTCCAAAGGGTCAAAATTTTGAATAATTATAACTCTCATAAAATATGATGTAAGAGTCCGATTGTCTTCAAATTACATACATCACAATATTTTTATCAACCCAAAGTCTGGTATGAAGATGGATATCACTGCTTCTGTACATCCCTCACAAAGGGCAAACATTTTGAATAGGCATAAAGGTCATTAAACACGAAATTAACATCCGATTTCATACAGACTTGGTAAATCTAAATATTTCTATCGACACAAGATCCACTACAGAGATCAGAACATTCCCTCTTGTACCTCCCCCGCAAAGGATCAAAGATTTGAATAACAAAACAATCATAAAATCCGAAAAAAAACATCCGGTTTTCTTTTTTAAATTACATACATTACAATAATTTAATTAAGGCAAGGTTTGGTGTGAAATTGGGATATATCGGTCCACTCCTTCTAGTACTTCCCCAAAAAAGGTTCAAAATTTTGAATATTCATGAAGCCCATAAAACGCGAAATTAACATTCGATTCCATTCGGACTTGATACATCTGTATATACAGATTTCCATCAACACAAGATATGTTATAAAAATGCTACAGATTGGACCATACTGGTACCTCGCCCACATAGGGTTCAACATTTTTGATAAACAATACACTCAAAGAAAGCGGAATAAGCATCTACCTCTCTTCACACTTCCAAATATTTTTGCTAACGAAATATCTGTTGTGAAGATGATATACATCTGACAACCCTTCCTGGTACCTCACCCTCAAAGGGTCACAATTTCCAACATTTCCAGGGTGAGATGAAAAAACTGCAACCAACTTCAGACTGCTGTCAATTCTAAGACACTCGTCCGACAACTGTTACAATTATTCCAGTGATTTTGGTGTGAATTTTCCAGAAAAAAAGTTATTCGTGGTGGAATTCAAGCGTGATAGTGTGATTTTTTATATTTAGCTGGAAAACCACAAGTGGCTACCGCTAGTGCACTCCAGCATTTAAATGTGAATTAATCGTTTGTGTCTCGGACCATCGTTCGTTACCGTGATACTGGTAGCGTAGCCAGACGTTAAGGAAGTGGACGGAAGAAAACAGCAACATCAGCAGAAATGGTTCGAAAAGTAAAGAAGCGACTTGACCCGCGTCGTAGTGGCGAAAAATGGCTGAACATATCGCAATATTCCGTTCGGCAAATATTGGCAAATTAGCTCGGGGTAAAGCCGTTGAAATTCCAAAAAGTTCAAGAACTTACACCGCAACAAAAAGAAAATAGATTCAAAAAAGCTAAAGAGTTGCTTCGCGTGGCCGAAAGTGGTGAACTGCCGAATTTGGTCTTCTCCGATGAGAAAACATTCGTTGTCCAAATAAAATTATCGTGTTTACTTGCCAAACAGGTCACACCTTCGGTTGGCCACCAGAACTCAAGCGCCGGCCATGGTGATTGTGTGGGCCGCCATAACAGCCAATGGTCGCTCTCCCCTCGTATTAATCGACCGTGGCATCAGAATAAATGCCGAATATCATTGCGAAAATATTCTGGAGGGTGTACGCAACATTTGGCTGCAGACCTTGGACATTCCAGCAGGACTCAGCACCGGATCCGGATCTCCGGATACCAATCCGTTGGACTTTTGTATCTGGAGTATTTTGGAAAGCAAAGTTCGCACTAAAAAATACCAAAGTGTCGGTCACCTCAAGCAAGCGCTTCGCCGGGAATGGGAAAAAATACCGCAGAGCAACATTCGGGCAGCGTGTGATGGTTCCATTGGCCTTAATTCGTGCCAAAGGTGACCAATTGAAACAAATCTAAACTTATTCTAAAATTTGATGGTATTTCCGACATTTTTTGCTTTCATTTAATAACATTTAAAAAAATGTAAAAATTAAGGTGTTTGACTTTGTTGCGGTTTTTTTATCTCGTCCTGTATATGAATTCCTGCTCTTTAAGTAAAACTTAGACTTTTGATGTCTTTTAAGACCTACAGTAGAATTTTTTGAAAAATAATTGTAGAATATTTTGACTTGCTACGAGTCCCTTTAAGGGGAGTTCATAACTATATTTACAACATGTTATAAAGCAGTAAGTTCGGCCTGGACGAATTTTGCACACCATCCACCGTTCGGAACAGATTTGAAAATTTTCAAAGAAATAAATAAATGTTAAGTTACGGTTATTCTGGGATCTATACGAAGACATGGACCTGCATAGGCAATTTTCTGTCACAGGCAAACACGAAATTTTAAACAGTTCTGATAAATAATATGGTCAAAAATCATTAAAATACCAAATATAGGAAGGTACCGATGTATGGGGGCTATACGAAGACACGGACCTGCATATACAATTTTCTGCCACAGACTGCAGTACCTATTAGGAACTTCAAATACGAAATTTGAAAGTAATCCGATGAATAATACCGCTAAAATCGTAAAAATACAGAAGATAAGGAGGTACCGTTACATGAGGGCTATTCAAAGACGTGACCCTGCATACCTAATTTTCTGTCACAGGTTGCAGTAACCATTGCGAACTACCATTAGAAATTTGAAAAAATCCTGTGAACGATTTCGCTAAAATCTTCAAAATACCGAATATCCAGTGATATGGAGGCTATACCTAGACGTGGACTTATATAGCACATTTTCAGTACCAAAAGTGTTTTTATTATTTTTCAATGTAAATGTTGAAAACGCCCATACGCGCGTTTTCTCTTTTTAGCTCTCTTTTATAAACTGCAGGATTTTCCCCGTAATTTTGTCACAGAGTGTTATTTGTCAGAAATATTTCAATAGATATACTTTTATCTAGCTTGACACTAAAAATAAGTAGGTGACATCAACTATCTCCACATATGGCCTTGGGCGACATGCCCGCATTCCTATAAATATTTAAATAAACCAAATCCCCAAGCACTTATTGTCACCAAAACGTCCCTTAACAACACTTTTAATTAATTCTGATTATCGATTGGCATATCAATTTATTGACATTACAACACATCCACTTACCTACACATCTACACCTCTACATGTCTCGTCCTTGTTTTTATTTGCAGAATATGAAGGTTCACCTCGACGCATTGGACAAATGGGCAACAATAGCAACGACGAAGACCATCATCAGCAGCAGCATCAACAGCATCGGACAAATAGCAGCGGCAACAAAATCCAAGGGAATGCCACAAATAAAGCCAATCATCAGAGGGATGGCATTTCCAGCAGCAATAACACCACTACATCCACAACCGTTGTAGCTGTAGGTGCAGCGGCCAATATGTCAAATAATTCTCCAAAACAACATTATACAGCCAGACCAGGGTTTCCACAGGTAAGAAACGCACACCCGCAATACGAATATCCTTTTGAATTGAATGAAAGACAGCTGTTAAGAGCAGAGCTTAAAATAGACAGCCACAAAAAAAAAGAGAATGAAATGAAATCAATATTTTGTTTATTGTTCGATGACACTGACATAAGATTAAAAATAAATATTATTTTCGTTTTTCTCTTTCCATTTTCGATGCGTTCTCTTTTTGCATCGCTATCCTATTCGGAAATATACAATCCTCAAAACACAGCGTATTATCTCGCCACAACGTGAGACAACACCACCGATTATGCTGCTAAATTACAATGGCAAAAGTCAACAACAACAGCAGCAGCTGCAGCAACAACAACAACAGCAACACCATCAACAACAACAATTGAATTCACAACAACAGTCTCCAACTAGAGACAACAATGCCGAAGATACCAGCAATGATGTATCGGAAATTGGCACAATCTCTGACCTGACAACGCCAGAGGCTATTATCCATCCAGCCGGCCCGGGCATGCCAACTGGAAATGGCAATGGCATCGCGTCTATATGCGACAGTCGTGCCACAACATCACCATCGCCGCCACTGCTTTCCACCTCCAATCGGGAGATGGAGACGGCGGGTGCATCGATATCGGCATCAGTCACTACAACAGCAACAGCAGCCCCAACTGCCACAACATCAATGACCGTTAGCTCCAAATGTAGCACCCCCTCGACGCCACCCAACACGTCGGCAACAACAATGACATCGCTAAACAATATTGCCGCCGCAGCCGTTGCTGCCTCCTCCTCAACATCGGCAAGTGGTGTCAATGTATCGACAGCAGCACCAGCACCAACAACCTCGTCCACACTGCTGCCATCGAATCTTGTCAGCAGTAATCCCCTGACTATACCGACCAAGTCATCAACCTTTGATTACCTCTACGAGTTCTCAGAAACACGCAAAGTGCTCGAAGAGTTTTTCAAGTGTCCCTCCAGCGATGACAAGCCCATCATTGAGAATAGCAGTGACGTTGATAGCATTGTAAGTTTGTTGCTGTTGTTTTATTCTTATTTTTTTAATATTCGTCCTCCATCTCGATGGAGAAAGAACAAAGAAATGGAATTATAAATTTTTCTTTTTTTTTTTTTTGTTTTTGCCTTACAATAGAAAAAATATACATAATTACAAGAAGTGTAGTTGTAGTGGTGATGGAGACTCTACAGATAAATTGGAAAATGTGGATGCTGGGAAAACTTACACTTAAGAGTGTTATCAGGAATCCGAGAATTCAATTTTGCCAAAATATATACACAGTTCTGACAGAATTGTTCCTTATTATTATGAATGACATTTAAAGATTGATTTTTAAAGAAGGTGTGTGTATCTTAATCTTTTAGAAACCTTAAAAAAAGTTATTGCATTTTTGGATAACTACGTTGGGCGATATAGTTCGAGCAAAAGTATCCTAAATTTATTTCAATTAAATTTGAACAACGACTTTTAAAGTTGATTTGCCACATTAATAAGATCTCTTGATTTTTAGTAATTTAAAATTTTTGTAGAGCCACATTGGGCGCCATTTTTTTAAACAGTGATATTTTCCGTCATATTGGCTTCCTAAAGGAAATTTCAACCGTTCTTCCCCCACAACTGCTGGGAGCCACTATTTTTGGGAGTATTCATCTTTTCTTAAAGGCTGCCCTTCAGCTACACTATGAAGACCTCGCGATTTTCGCAAGATCAATTTTTTGTTATATAGCACAATATTTTCTGTAATCCCCCTTTGCATTTTTGTACCTTCAGCCATATGGCTACAGAGGGTATTTATCATTTGATACAGACGACACGTGCCTCATTGAAATAACGGTTTCAGACCCTAGGTCCCTTAAGCCGAATCCTTTTCAGGAAATTTGTAGTCGATCTGTCGGTCCGTGTGGCTGGTGCTCACAATAATTCTCGAAGGGAGTATCCGATTTGATACAGGCTTAGTACATCGCAGTATTATTATCAAACTTAGATCGAGTTTGGAAATGGGCAACTTCGGTTCACTCCTTCTGGTACTTCCTCCACAAAAGGTCAAAATTTTCAAAGAAAATATTTTAATTCATAGAAAGGGGAAGGATCAAGGAGGAACTCTCATAAAATGTTAAATAAGAGGCCGATTTTCAAAAACAAATTTCAAATTTTAAACATCCTAATATTTATACTAATACAAGATCTGGTGTGAAAATGGTGAATATCGATCCACTGCTTCTGGTACCTTCCCCACAACGTGTCAAAATTTTGAATAATTATATCCCTCTTAAAATGCGAAATAAGCACCCGATTCTATTTAAATTTTTCATATCTCAATCGATTTACTCCTTTCAAAATATTATCACATATCTCATATAAATTGAAGAAAGATAGAATCGGTCAATACCTTCGGAACAGACATTGGCTGAGGGTATACATATGTCCGTAACACCGACTGATACCTTTTAACTCCTTAAGAATTAAAATTGTTTATTTCAGTATTTTTCGATGCCAATACGTAGGGGGACAGTAATTATATTTCAAATATTTCACTGCTCACAAATATTTCACTGCTGTTAATATGTTTAACATTTTAGATTTGAGTGACTTCAATAATTTTACTCAAACCCCTGAATCGATAGGGACGACATTTTCCGATACGAATTTTTTCGATGTTCAACTATGAGAGCATTCCTTTGTCTATATATTCATTAGTCTGTGATATAACTCTATGTGAGAGAGACACCAGATCGAGGGGACCGACACATCTTAATTCCATCTATTTGGAAATATAAAGAAAATCAGACACTGGTTTCACTGTTTTCCAGAAATTCGATTATTCATAATTTTTGCCTTTGAGGAGTACCAGAACGAATGAGCCTATGGTATCGATTTTTTAATTGATTTAAATTTGAAACAAATATTGTGTGTGTGGTTCCAGAATACAATAAAAATCTAAACTTTTCCTTAATGCTAGGGTATGCGAGTTTATGCAAAAATCTTCTTCAAAACATCTTTTTAGAAAAATGACTTCAAGGACAAACATTTTTTTTTTTATTAAATTTCACTATAAGTTATTGAACAATAGAAATCTATATGTGTATCGAAAAAATATTCGCAACATTGTTCCAAAAGAAACTGTTTTATAATTTCTAAAAATACATTAAATCGGAGCTATCCTTACAAGGGAACTACTGCAAAAAGTGGAGTGATATGATCCATTTTCAGTCCCCATGGTTTAAGGTGTAATTCTAAGATCTCTATCAATATTCAAAACTCTATAATAAATATTGAGAAATATATCTAAAACTATAGGGGTCCCCTTTTACACGGCAAAAAATATAAAAGGGCTTTAACAACTTTTGTCCGAAGAACCCACTACTATTTTGGAATTTGATCTATAAGCGAGTACTATCGAGTCGACTTGGCATTTTCCACCACCCAGCCTGGCTATTGTTCAGTGAAATTTTACAAAAAAACAATGAAGGGCATATTAAATTTGTCGAAGATCCCAAAAATTATATCTATTCCTCATCAGAATAAAATTATAATGCGATGTAGCAATGTCCGTCTGCCGGTCTGTTGAAATCACGATAGAGTCATCATTATTTAATCTAGAGCTTTAAAATTTGACACAAAAACTATATTTTATATGCAAGCTGATTGGGGCTGAAATGGGCTACATTGGTCCACGTTTAAATATAGCCCCACATAACGGTACCTCCAGATTTTCGGCATTTTAAAGGTTTTGGAAGATCTGTTCTCTTTTTTGGAATTTTTGGAAGATCTGTTCTCTTTCTGCAAAAAATATTCGCTATCAGCCCAATAATTGGTGTAGCCCCCATATAACGGTAACCTCCAGATTTTCGGTATTTTAAAGGTTTCTGCCACGCTTTCCAACCAAATTATCTTAAACTTGACAATTGGGGTTTTCGGTAGGTCTGTTTTTTTTTTTTTTTTTGCAAAAAATATTTGCTATATGTTCACTAATTGGTATAGAATCCTTATAACGGTACCTCTAGATTTTTGGTATTTTGAAAGTTTCTGCCACAATTTCGAACCAAATCAGCTGAAACTTGGCAATTGGGGTTTTTGGAAGTTTGTTTTTTTCTTTGCAAAAATGTTCGATTCAGGTCAACCGAAATTTTATGTTACTTTTAGGCGTTAACTCAAAAAAGGACAAGGGAAAATTTATGAAAAATATTAGGGGATTTTGTCGGTCTTTTTTTTCGGACTATTGATGCTAAAATATTTTGGCATACAATGGAAATAGAGATTTTTTTTTTGGCTTATAGTATATTAAGAACATTTTTGTCTTTGACGTCATCCTTCCAAAATAATGTTTTATTGGCGATTTTTGCACAAAAAAAGCACTGCTTTAATCCTGGCGTTAAGGTAAGATTTAGACCCTTAACGTCTTCTAGCACCTAGAGTCGAATTTTATGACAAATAATTTCGTGGAATATTTTGACTTGTAAAGTAATTTTTTAGTCATTAAAAAAAATCATTAAGTTCGACCGGGCCGAACTTTGAATACTCTCCACCATTTGGAACGAATTTGAACATTTTCAAAAAATTAAATCCGTTAAAAATTCTGTTAAAATCGTAAAAATTCCGAATATAGCCGTTATATTGGGGACTATACGACGTGGACCAACATAGGCATTGTTTGCAAAAGCTATTACCATATTCAAATTCGAAACTTGCAATAAACGGTGAATAATGTAGCTAAAATCATCAAAATACAGTATATAGGGAGGTACCGTTATATCGGAGCTATACAAAGACCTGGGCCTGCATAGACAATTTTCTGTCACAGGCTGTAGCTTCCATTATGAACTTCAAATACCAAATTTGAAACAATTCCCGTGAATAAATTGGCTAAAATCATCAAAATACTGAATATAGGGAGGTACCATTTATGGGAGCTATATGAAGACGTGGACCTGCACAGACAATTTTCTGTCTTAGGCTGTAGTATCCATTTCGAACTTCAAATACCAAATTTGAAACAATTCCCGTGAATAATGTCGCTAAAATCATCAAAATACCGAATATTGGGAGATATGTTATATGGGGGCTATACCAAAACGTGGACCTACATGGCCCATTTGTAATACCAAAAGTCCTACATTTGAGTAAAATTATAATAATCTACTTCTATTCGTTCGGAAGCCATAGTGATTTCCACAGACGGATAGACGGACGGACATCGCTAAATCGACATAGAATTTTATGCTGATCAAGAATATATATACCTTATGTGTATTTCGAGATTTTACAAACGAAATGACACCAAATTTAATGGAGGGCATATGATGGAGGGTATAAAAGTGGCTATATGATGGCCTAATTTGGACTCAAGATAATTGTTGTAGCTTCAGAAGAGAGACTCGATATTACCTTAGTTAAGCAATTCTGTGTCTATGGTAAAAACCAAATATTAAATTAATTTAAATTATCAAATTATAGTATAACGACGCTATTCCCATGATTTGGAATCTAAAATTTAGCCAAGCTGTGCACTGGTACAGTATGTGCATCCAATATCGTACATATAGCAAAGAATAAAGGAAACTAATCACAATATCTCTCACCACTACAATTTCCTTCCTAACTAGTACATATTTTTTCCCAACACTTTATAGGAACAAAATATGAGAATAACACTTCTAACCATTGTTGTTTTTCCTCTCTTTCTTCCTTCCTGTTTTATTTCTTTTGTTTTATATTTGTTGCGGCGTGCGCACACACACACACTCAGGACATACAATATGAATTCCACAGCAATCTGAATCGCGGTGACATTGAAGAGGATGAGGGTGACGGAGATATTGAGGGAGATGATGACGACGATGAAATACAATTGGATGGTGACAATGATGAGGATATTGATAACGAGGATGCCGATGATGTTGAAACGCCCCAACACCATCAGCCATCCGTTCAACTGGGCCAGCAGCATCAGTTACACCAGCAGCAGCAACAGCAATACTCAATGCAAACCCAAAACAACCATCACGCCCTGAATCATCATTCCAGTTTTCGCAATCATCTGCAGTCACCCACCCAATTCACGTATCGTCCCTATAACGAAGATGAAGATGATGACGACATGGATCTGGACAATGAGGCCACCAGACACAATGAAATGCAACACCATTACGAACAGCAGCAACAACAACAGCATCACCAGCAGCAACAGCAGCTCGAACAACAAGAAAATCATCACAACTTCTCGTTGCTGAACAATCGCCATGCCAGCAACAGCAATTCGCGCCAGCACAACTCGAGGCGTCACTTTACCGGCAGTCCATTAATGCGCGACTTTGATTTCTTTTTGGACTCGGCCAGTCGCAGCAGCTGCGAACAAATCGATCAGCAAATCGATGGCATCAATCACAATCAAATGAATGCCGCGAATAGGCAAAATTATCGCTATTCACCGGAGACAACGGATTATGATTCCAATTGTGGTGATTTGGACAGTAAGTATGACGGGAAATTGTTATTGATGGAATTTTTTATATCGATAATATTTACGATGATTGTTTGTTGGGGGGGCAATGTAAAGGAGATCAGTATGTTTAGGTTTGTTAAAAACAAAATGTTGATGAAAGTGACAGCATTTTATTAGATAAATTTCAAAAATCTATTTGAAAAGTACAACACAGTACTAAATTTAGTACAATTTGAATTTTGAGGAACGGATAAAGCTGGAATCCTGAATTGGAGTGTGGTATTGGGTTATGGAGGTAGTTTTCGAAATTTGTCCTTATGTGCACGAAAAGTACTAGATTGTACTAAATGTGGTTCAATTTAGAACTGGGCAAAACAATAGAGCAAGAATGCTGACATTTTCAAACAAGACCGCCATTGTATTGTAGGGCTGTGGAATGTACGTAGTTTTAGAAATTCATACTTATTTGTACTAAATGGTACTTAATTTGATACAAGTGAAATTTCGGGAGAACCGATAGAGTTGGAATCCTGAATTTTTGGAATAAGAAAGCATTTGTATTGTAGGATTTAAATATGAAGGAAATTGTGGAAATTCGTACTTATGTGTACTAAATGACACTAAATTTGGTACAATTTAAATTTTGGGAGAAACGATAGAGTTAGAATCCTGAAATTTGGATATAAGGTTTATATTGGATTGTATGTAGGTAGTTATGGAAATTTGTACTTATGTGTACAAGATAGTACTATATAGTGCTGGTATCCTGAAATAAGATTGCTGTCGGAGTATAGAATTGAGATATGGAAGTAGTTTTAGAATTTGTACATTTATGTTGTAAAATGTACTAAATTTGGTGAAATTTGGATTTTGGTGAACCGTAAGGGCTGGAATCCTGAAATTGCGAAATAAGATCTCTATTGGATTGGATGTCTACCTATGTGTACTAAATGGCACTAAATTTGGTACCAATTAGAATTTTGGTACAAATAAGATTTCTATGGGTTTGCATGATTGAGGTATGGAGGTAGTTGTGAAAATTTGGAGTGTAGAATTGGGGCATGCAGAATGTTTTGGAAATTCGTACTGAATCGGAATTTGTGTGAACCGATAACACTGGAATCCCGAAATTCGAAATTACTGTTGAAATAAAGCATTTGTGGTATGTACTATATATAACTTACATTACTAATTTAAAATAAATCTGGAATACATAGAGGTTTTGATTATGGCGCCCAACATTTTTCCAAGAAAAATCCTTGTTGTGGAAAACCTTCCTTTGTTCGATGATTTTCGAACATAAGCACTGAATTAACCATCTTCCAGAGAGCCCCCACGTTTGGCTGCGAGTCAATATTTACTTGCATCATATCATCTGCTAATGTACTACTCATGATTCTCCCTGCATATACAGGGCGAAATAAAAAAAACTGCTACAAAGTCAAATGCCATAATTTTTACATTTTTTTTAAATATTATTGAATAAAAGCTAAAATGTGGGAAATAGCATCAAATTTTAGAATAAGTTTAAATTTGTTCGAATTGGCCAGCTTTGGCACGAATTATGACCTTCAAACGGCCAATGAAACCGTCATACGCTGCCCGAATGTTGCTCTGCGGTATTTTGGCCCATTCCCGGCAAAGCGTTTGCTTGAGGTGTGGGCCCACGGCCCTCACCATCACCATGGCCGGCGCTTGAGTACTGGTGGCCGACCAACGGTGCACATTTTCAGCTGACCTCTTTAGCAAGTAAACGCAATCATTTTGTATGTTTACAAACTGTTGGACAACGAAAGTTTTCTCATCGGAGAAAACCAAACTCGGCAGTTCACCACTTTCGGCCAAGCGAAACAACTCTTTAGCTCTTTTGAGTCTATTTTCTTTCGGTTGCGGTGTAAGTTCTTGTACTTTTTGGAAGTTTAATGGCCTCATCCCGATCTCATTTTTCAATATTTGCCGAATGGAATATTGCGATATGTTCAGCTCACAAGCCGTTTTTCGGCCACTGAGACGCGGGTTTCGGCTAATGTTGCTGTTTTCTCCCGTCCACTTTCTTGACGTCGGTCTACGCTACCAGTATCACGGTAACGAGCGATGTTACGAGACACAAAAGGTTTATTCACATTTAAATGCTGGAGTGCTCTAACGATAGCCACTTGTGGTTTTCCAGCCAAATATAAAGAAACGTTTGAATTCCATCACGAATAACTTTCTGCAAAATTCTCACCAAAATGCTTTTGTACGCTTGTAAACAATATAATGAGATGTCACTGGAATAATTTTAAGAGCTGTCGGACGAGCTGCTTAGAATTGACAGCAGTCTGAAGTTGGGTGCAGTTTTTTCATCTCACTCGTATATATAAAAGAGAAGTGAAATCACTGACTGACTAAGAATCAACGCTCAGACGAAATGACCAAAGCTAGAATGTTGAAATGTTGCACAAGGGTCAGTCTTGGTGCGGCGAGTGATAAAGCTGGGTTTTTTGGAAATTCGTGCTAAAAGCGTACGAAAAGTACCAAAATAAAATTTAAGATGAGTGATGATGGATAGATATACCAAAGCGTTTTTGAGAATTCGAACTTTAAGGTTACGAAAAGTTCTAAAATGATATCAATCTTCTAAAATGGTATCACTTCGTATTTTGAGAACGGATAGAGCTAAAAACTTAAAATTTTGTATAAGAATCAATGTTGGAAAGTAAGTTTGATATGTGGTTTTGGAAATGTGTACTAGTGAGGGAACTGTACTAAATGGTACTAAATTCGGAATAGTTTGGTTAAGTGTGAAAGGATGAAGATGAAATTTTGAAATTATATATTCGGGTCCATGTTGGTAGTTGGTTTTTGATAAATAGGTGGTTTTGAAATATGTACTACTCGGACACGAGAAGTACTATATTTGGTACAATTTGGCTTTGAGTGAACAGATAGTGCTTGAAATCTGAAATTTGGCATTAGGATCGCTGTTCATGTATAGTCTGGACATATGGAAGTGACTGCGGAAATGTGTAACTTAATTGAACGAAATGTACTGAATACTAATGGTATCCATGTTTAGGATTTAGCAGAGGCTAGAAAATTCGTCCTAAATTTGTACGAAAAATACTGAATGGTGTTAAATTTGGTATTCGGTGAATGGGTAGGGCTGGAATCTCGAAATTTGATATGGAAATTATGTGTCTGTATCTGGAAATGAGACTTGAAGGTGGTTTTGGAAATGTGTACTATAATCTTATGAAAAATACTAAATAGTACTCAATTTGGCATTGGGTGAAGGAATTGAGCTGAAATCCTTAAATTTATAATGGATATCACTTTTGGCATCCTATATTTGTACGAAAAGTACTAAATTTAGTATTGGGTGAAGGGATATGGCTGAAATCTGGAAATTTGGTATTGGAGTATCTCTCTTGGAATATGGAGTTAAGATACGGATGTGTTTTTGAAATATGTAAATGGTACTATATTTGGCAACGGGGGAAATAACAGAGGTGAAATCCTGAAATTTAATATTAACGTCTCTCTGGGCATCTGAGGTTAAGATATGGAGATTATTTTGAAAATACGTACTATGTTCGAAAAGTACTTAATTTGGTATTGGGTGAAGGGATAGGGTGAAGGGATATGCTCAAATTTGATATTGAGGTCTTTGTTGGTATCTGGGATTGATATATCGAATTGGTTTTTCAAATGTGTACTATAATTGTACGAAAAACATTAAGCAGCGCAAAATTGGATATAGAGTGAATAGATAATGTTGAAATCTTCAAATTTAATATTGAGGTCTCTGTTGGTATCTGAGATTGCGATATAAATGTGCTTGTGGAAATATGTACTCTAATTGTACGAAAAGTACGAAATTTTACTTAATTTTGTATTGTGTGAAGGAATAGAGCTGATGATATAGATGTCACTATTGGGGTCTATGGTTCAGATAGGGAGGTGGGTTTGGAAATGCGAACTATAGCTGCTGGAAAATTACTAAATGTTACTAAATTTGGTATTGAATGAATGTATACAGCTGAAATCTCGATATTTGATATTGAGGTCTCTCTTGGTATCTGTTGTTGAAGCATGGGGTTAGTTTTGGAACTGTGTACTATAATTGTTCGATCACTTGTTTTGGATCACTGTTGGCCTCTAGGATGGAGAGATGTAGATTGCTTTGGATATGTGTACTTAATGGTACTAAATTTGGTATTGTGTGAGGCAATTCTGAAAATTGATGTTTAGGTCACTTTTGGTTTCTAGAGTTAATCTATGCGAGGTTGAAATAGTTTTTGACAGAAAAATTAGATGTGACTCCATTTTCAATGGTTTTACTAATATCCTCCTCAATCGGGTTAACTTTTCGCTGACGAAGTACTGGGCACTTTCTGGTATTACAGAAATACGTAGACAATTCTGTTAAAGCTGTGGATGTTTTCATTCAAAAACCCCCGTTTTGAAGAAATATTTTTGACTACCCTACACCACACTGTAATGCAGGGTGTTATTTTTATGTGCATTTGTCGGAAATAGACCCATAGTTCCTTTTGATCATCTCCATGGAATCACATTTTAAGTCGATTTATGCATGTCAATATATTTTTATAAGCACTATAGAGGTCTAATTTCATTATGGAAATCGGAAAAAATTAAATATAGCTCCATATACATCTTTGCCCGTTTATTGTGCCTAAATATGCGAAAATCGATTTTGATTTTACCATTTTGAAAAATTAAGGAATACAAATTCTTAATTGTTTGTGGAAGGTAATTCCCAGCCAATGTCGTGGTTTGAGGCGTTACTATAATGTAGCATCGCCGTTAAACGAAATGTGTAGCTTAATATGCATTGGTTGAATTAATAAATTATACGCCTAAAAGTATGCTTAATTTATTGATGGTGTAACCGCAACGACAAACATACGTTATTTATACGGAAAATAAATTCAATATTTGTGGTATTTGAAAAAAATATCTCCATGTCTTAAATTCAGCTTTTTCAACCAATTTCTTGCACAAAACCTCAATTTTTTTATTGAAATTCTTCAACTTCTCTCAAACATTTCTGCCTTCCGTTGTCATCGAACTGTTTATTTATTTTCTTTAAACATTTCGATCTTTTTTTGTTTGCCATCCTCAAAACTATTTAACTTTACAATAACTGTGGCCAAAAGTTGTTGCAGAAAAGGGTTGAATTGCTGTGGCCCGAAATCTTAATGTCTGTCAAGGATTTAATGGCCGCTCAAGTGGAGTGCGGGAATATTCCCAAAACTAAACGAAGAAAGTGAAACCGAAGAAAGCACACAAATCGAAAGTTAGAATTTAATTAAGTGTCAAAAACAAAGCAAAGAGCAGAGATGAAGAAACGAAATTGCTTAAATGATAGATTGTCAATGACCAGTAGCCGCAATTGGAGTGTAACGTTTAATTGACCAATCGGTTGAAAGATTGAGAAAGGATTTCCATTTCATTGACATTCGGTCGCTGGCTGCTGCACAATTGTGATTGGGGCTCATGGGAGGTTAGTTAGGGGAGTATTGTCATTTTTTTTTTTTTTTTGCTATTGCAATTAACCTAAATTTAAGGTGAAAGCGTCAATGAATTGTAGAGTAAAAATATTGGAAAGTTTTTATTCTAAAGACTAAGGTTAAAATCCTTCAGCTTTCATATGGTAATTAAAACAATATCTGTGTTGAAAATTGATTCTGGGAATCTTATAAATGATGGTTGTTGAGATGGAACTTGAAACGTTCTCGGGCTGGAACATTTGTTCTTTAGACTTTTATTAATGAAACTATAAAGTGTCCGCTACTTCGTCAGAGATTCAGATTCATTCATTCTACATGCATTCTAACAGTTCGTGTTAGGCCTTTTTAGTACTCAAAATGCACAATTTGTTAAGTTTGGCAAACATTTTTTGTTCAAACTTACATCGTGCTTCATTTTCAGACTTTCAAGGTTTTATATATTATTCAAGTTTTTTTCTTTTTCGGAAAATTTAAACCTTTTACACCAAAAATGTTTCTAAAATTCTTTATTTTGGAGTTAACCGAGGAGGATAGTAACAAAACCATTGCACAATTGACCCACATTCATTTTTTCTGTTCAAAACTATTTCAACGTCTCCATATGTAAGCTCAGAAAACAGTGACCACAATATCAAATTACAGAATTTTCAAAGATCTCAGCACCAGATACCAACAGTGACATCCATACCAAAATTCGGGATTCCAGCTTTATCCCTTCACCCAATACCAAATATAGTACTATTTCGTACTTTTCATATAGTTTTAGTACCCATTTGCAAACCCGTTCCATATCTTAATCCTAGACACCAAGAGTTATCGCAATATAAATTTTCACGGCTTCAGTTCCTTAATTTCCTCCATTGTCAAATTTAGTACAATTATAGTACACATATCCAAATCCAGTTCCTTCTCTCAACCTCAGTCACCAACAGTGACATCCATATTAAATTTAAAGATTTCAGCTTTATTCTTTCATTCAAAGATCCAAAATTAGTACCATCTAGTACTTTTCATTCAATTTGAGTATACATTTCCAAAACCACCTCCAGATATCAACATAGACCTCAACACCTTATTTTCGGGATTCCAGCTCTATCCCTTCACCTAAAATCAAATTTGGTACCTTTCGTATATTTTTAGTACTCATCTGCAAAACAGTTCTGAATCTTTATTCTAGACAGTGACATCCATATTAAATTTCATTATATCAGTTATATCCCTTCACCCAACACCAAATTTAGTACCTTTCGATTAATTATAGCACACATTTCTAAAACCAGCTACATATTTAAAACACAGACACCAACAGCGACATCTGTATAAAATTTCAGGATTTCAGCTCTACCCAATACAAAAATTAGTACCATTTCCAAAACCAACTCCATATCTCAATCCCAGGTACCGACAGTGAGCTCAATATGAAATCTGAGGATTCAAGGGATAGACCCTTCCCCCAATACCAAATTTAGTACTATTTAATACTTTTTGTACAAATATATGACGCATTTTGACCAAATCTCAAACACAGATACCATCAGCAATATTAAGTCACATATCAGATTTTTTTCTCTTTCCCTTTACCGAATGCCAAATATTGTACCATTCTGTACTTATCGTAAAATTATAGAATACATTTCCGAAACCACATGTACAGCGACCCCAATAAATTAAAATTTTAGATTTTAAACCCTATCTTGTCTCCTAATACAAAATTGTACCAAATATAGTACTATTTAGTCGCATACCTATCCCCATAAAATTTATAAATGTCAGCTTCATCTGTTCACCCTAAACCAAACTGTTCCACATTTAAAAATAATAATAATAATAATAATAATAATACCAATTTTCGGATTTCAAACACTATTCGTTCACCCAATACCAAATTGTACCAAATAAAGTACTATTTAGTTCTTTTCGTTCATTTGTAGAGCAATTTTCAAATAACCTCTTTATCACAAACCTACCACCAACAGGGAAACCAATACAAAATTTCAAAATTCCAGCTTCATCCATTCAACTCAAACTGTTCCAAATTTAGTGCCATTTAGTACAGTTGCCTCACTTAGTACACGTAGCCAAAACTACCTTCAAATATCAAACTTACTTTCCAACCTTGATTTGATTTATCGGTTCAATCAAATCGATATTCTTCCAAATTTAGTACTTTTCGTGTACATAAGTACAAATTTCGAAAAATTTTCCCATATTTCAAACCAGTAATGTGAATTTCAAATTTTAGGAATCTAACTCCTTCCTTTCCTCCAAACTCAAATTGTACTAAATTTAGTAGTAGTTTAGTACTTTTCGTCGTCGACATCAAGCTTTTAACTCTAAACGTTCACATGATATAAAATGGTACCAAATATAGTACATTTTAGTACTTTCCATAAAGTTATAATACCAAGGGTATCATATTTAGTACCTTTTAATATTTTTCGTACCGTTCTAGTACAAAACAGAGCCTTTTCTGACACCTTCGGACCAAGAGTGACCCTCACCCAAAATTTCACGATTTTAGCTTCAGCCATATAAAACTCACCATTGATCAATAAACTCACCACCAAAGCTATTCGCTTCTTTACCAGCCACAAATTTGCTCTACAGACAGGCCGCAAATCATCAGCTTTCAATGAAGTCGGAAGTCAGTTCGAATGATTTCATTATTTCCGAATTCGCAAAGAGTTACTCTTTCAATATTGGTTGGCTAGCCCTGATATAGATATCGATAATTGCTATCTCAATTTTATTTCGATCTCTTCAGAGCTTATCCGTTCCGATTTTTCATTTTGTTTTCAATACGAACTCTATATTAAGTCCATATAAAATCTCCCTGCCACAAAATTATTCCAAATTATAATCTCTTATAACATTTTATTTATTTCCCTTTCTCTCTCCCTCTCTCTCTCTCTCTCTCTCTTTCCCATTTTCAGGTCTCTCGGGTGAAATGAATGGTGGCGTCTCGACATCATGTTCGAACTATGCTAAATACTATGCATCCAGCATGCCGGTGCTGGAGGATGGTCTATCATCGGGTCATACATCCGACACGGAAAACAATAACCAAAATAATTTATTGAATCAACAGAATTCCGGTATTCATCACACTCCGCTCGGCGGAGGCATTTCCATGTTGATGGACATGAAACGAGTTTCGACCAACAACAGCATTAATAGCATGAATAATACAACAATTTCGACAACAGATGGCATCAGTGGAGGCGGCAGTGTTGTCAATGACAAACGTAACTCGTCAATGTCGCCAAATCTATTACACGATTCGTATTTGCGTAAGAATGATAGTCCCATCAATGGTCTGATGGTGGATGAGGGTATGCGAGAGACGTCAGCGATTACAACAACCACGCTGCGAACCAAGAATGAAATCCGTGATAGCAGAGAACGGGAGATAATTGGACAAAGTCCCAATGGCATAAGCAATAATAAGGTGTTCAAGAACATTGATCCGGATCTTGATTCGCTTTATTCGATAAGTAAGTTTGTGGGGGGAATAAGAATGATATTGAAAATAATATTTTTTTAATTAATCCTTTATTCCAGGTGTTTTCCATCGCAATGACATGGTGCAAATGACACCACCACCCCCAGCTCCGGCTCCACATCGCAAACCCAATGTTCTGTCGGCGGAGCCAGATATTTTACAACCCACACCATATAGGGATGTGCGTTCAGGTGGTTCCCCTACCAAGGCCAACAACACTAGCAACACCAACACCACCACAACAACATCGGCCTTGAACAATGGCAGCAGCAGCAGCAGTGGTGGTGTTGCAATGCAATCGAATACCTCGCCGACCCAACAAGCAGCTCAAAGTATAAAACGTACAGCACAACCGCAGCCGCCGCAGCAGCAGCAGCAACAACAACAGCCACCACCATTGCCAGAACGTAATGCACCGGCACGTTCTCCATCGCCTGTGATGAACTCTCCAGTCTGGTTGACACGCCACCTGGAGGTGAGCTCTCAAAAGGGTTTGCTCGAATCGCCCTCGGCTAATCACTCAAAAAATCTAAGTGCCGATGAAGATGATGTGGACACCGACCTGGAGACCGATCGCCTACTGGGCCATCAGCGTCTCGATGACCAGGGCTATTACGATGAAAACAAGACATGGGATCGCAAACCGGCCAGATCTCTGCTCTCGAAAATCTCTCCCAAACAGGTGCCAAGCACCAAAACACGTAACGGTTACAATGCCTTGCTATCCTCAACACCGGAAATCCCACCGCCAGTACCGCCGAAAAACTCCTCCAACAAATTGCTGGACATTGGCGGTTCCATGTCATCGCCGGAACACAGCGACAAATCGCCCATCAAATCAATCGACATTCAGGATTGTGGCCTGACTCTGGGTTCGCCGGGCGGTTCAGAAGGTTCCGGTTGCATGAAAAAGGACATTGACAATGGTCTGGGTGGTGGCCAGGCGACAAGTGGCAACAGCAGCACGGCAAGCGGCAACATTGTCAACAGCGGAACGGGCAATGCTGGAGGCACTGGCAGCAGTGTCGGTTCGACGGGCAGTACCACAGGCGAGAAAAAAGTTAAAAAGAGTAAGAACAAAGAAGGTAAATTGTTGGGTTTATCTTCGTGGCAAACATTCGGTGTTGTCGTTTGAAAAGTCGTAAAACCAATTTTAGTACCAATTATCAAAATATATCTTAACTATACATATATTTATTATACATATATATACATAGAGAGAGATAGATAGTGTATTTGAGAACAAATATGTATTTTATTTGTAGTTGTGATGAAGCAAAACAGTTAATGGAAAATGTTGGAAACAAATTCTTTGAGAATTTAGGTATACAGAGGGGGAAAAGCCAAACGGTTAGGTGTTGGATGCGCCATCGATTTAAAACTTTTATCTTGAAAGCCAATGGTCCCTTGTGCGCAACCTGAAGATATAAGGATACAGAATTTGAATTGAACGTATAAAAGAAAAAAAACTTAATCCATCCATAAAATAGACGAATATTAACTCTAAAAATTAAGAAAAAGATCATCCTTCAGGTCATCCTTCTAAAATTACGCTTTATTGAAGATTTGTGGACAAACTCACAAAAAGTACGACTTTTACCCTAAAATGTGTTTTTAATATTTATGATTTCCAGGCGTTTGAATAAGATTTAGACTTCTGACATCTTCTAGGTCCTATAGTAGAATTTTATAAATATTTCTTGTAGGATATTTCGACTTGCTACAATCCCGTTTTAAGTTAGTTTTTAGCCATATTTAAAAAGGGACCAAACATACCACTTTGTTGACTCGCTTGAGGGTTAACATTTGCAGCCAAAATATTCCTCATATTTTTATCGGGGTTATTGCCGAAGACAACATATGCCTAAAATCCATGGGTTCCTAATATTTCCAGAAGTGTGGAAGAGGAGGGAAATAGCCGCCTCTATTTTGACTACTTTCCGAATGGTTGATAGTATTAAAAATTCGGCCCAGTCGACGTTAAATGTTTTTTCACTTGTTTAGTCGTGAATCTTTTGCGTAAGTGGGAAGTAATTTCCGCTGGTGCTATTTTCATCTCAACAAGATATCGAGAAAATTCCACTCCTGCCGAGTACTCTTTGATCAAGCCGTTGTTGTCTTTGTATGTATGTGTATTTTCGCAACACACAGCTATAAATAAAAACAAATCAAAGAGAATTGTCGCCAATCTGATAAACCGACTTTGGTACGCAATCAAGTTTTCCTCCCGAAACAGACCTAATATAGTCGCCCTAGAGTCACACCATGCCCACTAATCCACTATTATTTTACCCACAATTCGACAGTGCCCTGGTACCCAACATAAATTAACGTTTCTGCCAAAAGTGCCTGAGGCAAATCTGCATTCCTTACCAACCTTGATTTTATAGAAAATGGCCTCAAGAGCAACTGTGTTGTCAACAAAGACCGCTACTGCACTGCTTGCACATCCCGTCATATTCTGTAACATTTCCGAAGCCTTAATACACTGCAGTTGCCATTAAACTTGTAGGAGTTTTTATGTCCAACTCGATCTTGGTCTGCCTGCATTTATTATTAGGAACGCTCTCAGTGACGTCTGAAAGAGTGAGAAGTTCTTGCAGAAATGTAATGGAATCATTTAAGACGATTTAGCCCTGTGCGTCCGTTCGTCGTCCCCCATATAGCGGTACCTACCTTTTAGCTGATTTTAACTAAATTTTTCAATAGAATTGTCTAAAAATTCATACTAGAAGTTTGTCCTAAGCACTTTTCCTCCTGGAAGAGAAATGTCTATATAGGTCCACTATATCGTATAACCCACATACCACGGGACATTTGAAATTGAAATTTCGTTCCTAATAGGTACTACAGCCTGTGACAGAAAATTGTGTATGCAGGTCCAGGTCTTCGCATAGCCCCGGATAATATTTACCGGATTTTTTTCATGTTTCGTATTTGAATATTTTAATGGCTTATGACAAAAGTTACGCTATCAGGTCAACGTCTTCGCACAAATCCCAATATAACGGCTATATTCGGTATTTTTACGATTTTAACAGAATTTTTAACGGACTTTATTTTTTATATAATTTCCAAATTTGTGGCAAATGATGAAGGGTATTCAGACCGAAGTTACTCCTTTTTTACTTATTATGATTTTTGCGACATTATAGACAGGGATTGTTTTGAATTTCGCATTGGAAGATCTTAATGGATACTCGTACTTCAACATATGAGGGAAAATTATCTATACAGGTCCATGTCTTCGTATATCCCCCATATAACGATTTTCATTTAAACAGCGTTTTACGACGAAATTTTTATACCATCAGCCATATGACTAAAGAGGGTATATATTCGAAATAACGGTCTAGGTCTCTTTTGGCCGAATCCGTTTCAGGACATTTGGAGTCGATTTTGCGATGTCCGTCCGCCTGTTTGTCTGGCTGGCTGATGCGTACTATAATTCTCGAAGGGCGTATCCGATTTATCCCAAACTAGGTACATCGTAATGTTATAATCAAAATTAGATCGAGTCGAAGATGGGCAATATCGGTCCACTCCTTCTGGTAACTCCCCCACAAACGGTCGAAATTTAAAATAAAATATTTTAGTGCACAAAAAGGATAATCCCATTTTGCTCCAATTTTCCAAATTCTAATATTTATATCAGTGCTAGGTCAGGTGCGAAAATGGACAATATCGGTCCACTCCATCGAGTACTTCAATGTCAAATTTGGAATAATTAAAACTCTTATAAAATCTGATATAAGAGTCCAAACTACACAGATCACAATATTTTTATTAACACAAAATCTGATTATAAAGATGGCAAAGATTGGGCAATTCCTTCTGGTTCCTCCCCCACAAAGGGTCAACGTTTTAAATAGCCAAAACAAGCACAAAATTCGAAATAAGCATCAGGTTCTCTTCATATTTAACACATCCCATTATTTCTACTAACACAAGATCTGCTGTGAAGATGAAGATATATCGGTACACTCCTTCTGGTACCTCCCCAACAAAGGGTTAAAATGTTGAATATCCATAAAGCTGATAAAACGCAAAATTAACATCCGAATCCATTCAGATTTGGCAAATCTCAAAATTTCCATCAACACAAGACTTGTTTTAAAGACGGTAGAGGTTGGACCATTTCTTCTAGTACTTCCCCCAAAAAGGATAAAAATTTTGAATATCCATGAAGCTCATAAAAAGTAAAATTACCATCCGAAACACTTCAGACTTTGTACATCTCAATATTTCCATCAACACAATTTCAATTTCTTCTAGTACCGTCCCACATAGAGTTCATAGGTTGAAAAATAAAATGCTGAAAGAAAGTGGAATAAACATCCAGTTCTCTTCATATTTCACACATCCCATTCTTTCTACTAATACAAGATCTGCTGTAAAGATGGGACATATCGGTCTTTTCCCTCTTGTACCTTCCCACAAAGTGCCAACATTTTGAACATCCATAAAACTCATATCAGGTGAAATTAACATCCGATTCCATTCGGACTTGGCACATCTCAATATTTCCACCAATACAAGATCTGTTATAATAATAGGAGGGATCTGACCATTTTTTCTGGTTTCTTCCCCACGTAAGGTTCAAGACGGTCACCTCAAGCAAGCGCTTCGCCGGGAATGGGCCAAAATACCGCAGAACAACATTCTGGAGCATGTGAAGGTTTCATTGGCCGTTTGAAGGCCATAATTCGTGCCAAAGGTGACCAATTCGAACAAATATAAACTTATTCTAAAATATGATGCTATTGTTTTATTCAAAGACATTTAAAAAATAAAATTAAAAATTATGGCGTTTGACTTTGTTGTAGTTTTTTATCTCTCTCTGTATCTGCGAACACCTTCTGGTACCTTACTCCCAAAGGGTAACCATTTTCAATACTTGAACAGTGTTGACTAGTTTGTTCGGGATACCATGGTATTTTGTTGTTGCAAAATGGTCAGTCTTTATAAAACAACGTTTGTTTATTAGTGAAGAACGATGGTAATGTTTACCAGGGGGTAAGGCAGGGAATACCTAGGTTTCGGAAAAAACCACCAATGCTCATCAATTAGGCTCATTTTCACATTTATAAAAATGATCACATATCTCATATAAAGTGAAGGAAGTAGTCAATATAGCCCATACCTCACAGGTCGCAATGTTTATGTCCTATTTATTTTGGTCTGATATGAACTGGTCAATATTCCATCGGAACCTACGGCATATCGGGTCAACAATTTGAATAATCATCTGAAGTCAACATATATTTAAATCATCGAATCAAACGAAACGACTGATACTTTTTAATTTGATTTGGTCAACCTAGGCGTCAAAGTCCCCCAATTTCCAATTTTCCATTAACTTTTGCTTTGTCCATAGCGTTTATAAAGTAAAAAAATCATTTTAGATGTTGTTTCAAATTATAATTTGCAATATTATAGATGAATAGTATTTCGAATTATATATTTGAAGATTGTTGTATACTTCATATACAATGCAATGCAATGAGGGCTATCGAACATGTTTGTAATGGACATCGAACCAGGAACAATGCGGTGTGAATGATACCTTATTAATCCAATTAACAATACAAAAAATGCAGTTATGTGACTAAATGTGTTCATTTCAAACCTCATGTTCGATTGCAACCTCTACAGTAATATTTGTACCTCCATACCAAAAAACCAAAAACTTTAGATAAAATATGTGAACTAATTTGCAAATAATATGTTGTTTTTTTCTTTATGGAATATATTTACTTTTGCATGCATTCCGTTACGTTCCGTTTTGCGTTCCAAACCAATCAAATATTTAATCAAAACAATTAAATGTGTAATCGCTTAACTCTCCATCTCGATGTCTACGTTCGTTCGTTCGTTCGTTTATACTTTGTAAGCTACAAATTCTTTTTTATAAAAAAAAACAAAACAAACACAAAACTCCATACAACAACAACGACATTACATTTCATTAGTTTGTGGTTCTTTTTTTGGTTATTTTAAAACCTTTGTACCTCTCTTCAGTTGTAGTCACTAGTTCAAGTTGTATTCAAAACCATTGAAGAAAAACTAAAACTAAAACATTTTTCATTTGTAGTAATTTGAGTTTTCTTTGGTTTTCAATGTCTTTTCACCCCCAACACACAAGCGCTCAACACAAAAACAAAATTACTAACTTTTTTATTATCTCTCTCCCTCTCTTTGTGGCACCCTTTAACCCCACCCAAACTACGTTTCAAATCTGAACCTAAAGGCGGTGCAGTGCTAATCGAAGGTGTCCTATTCCGAGCCAAATATCTCGGCTCTACCCAATTGGTATGCGAGGGTCAACCCACAAAATCCACACGTATGATGCAAGCCGAGGAAGCAGTCTCAAGGATAAAGGTTGGTATTTTCTCTGTATACATACATGTGCGCGTGTGTGTGTATGTAAACATTTCTAGAATCGAGTGTTGTTCGAATGAAGTTCATTTCATTTGTTGCTTAAGAAATTCCATATTTCTTTCACCTTCATTACGACTTTTTTTGTGTTTTTATTTTTGTAGAAAATTAAATATTATTGGGCTAATATTATTTTTAAAATATAAAATAAATAATTTGTTTATTAATTTCATACAGATAAGAAGAACTGGCTACCATATTTTTTATACTAACAAAAATATATATTAATTTTAATATTGAACCTAGATAAAACCTTGCCTTGCCTCGCTAAAGTTCGTAATTTTTTATGTGACATAAAAATTGTTACTATATATTTTATATGGACCATTTAAATGAACCCAAACGCAGACCTGTCTTTATCAGAGGCCCTTAGTCTTAAACTTAGCCGGAAATAACCAGTAAGGAAAGCTCAAAAGTCGGGCGGGGCCGACTATATGATACCCTACACCACTATGCATATTTAGTAGAGCTCTCGTAAAAAGGTTTATGCAGGGCATTTCAGAGCTCTATGAGATATTTGGTACAAAATCAAAATCTATCTAATTCTATCGTGCATTTTACGAACTATAGCTATCTCTGAACCGGGTTTCTCCAAATTTTACGTATTATCTTCTAGACTGGTGATTTGGGCTGATATTGACCATTTAGTGCACATTTAACCCGAAATCGGATGAAGATATATATGAGAGCTATATCCAAATCTGAACCGATTTCGATAAAATTTAAAACAGCTATTCCTGTGCTCCATCTAATACCTGGTACCAAATATCACGGTTGTGGAGTGAATATTACGAATGTGTGGGACTAAAACTCTAAATCGGATGAAACATATATATGGTTGCTATATCTATATCTGAACCGATTTTCACTAAATTTGATATACTTGCTTCTAGGCTGAATTTGGTCCGATGTACTAAAATTCAGTCCATTTGGGCTGATATTGGCCATTTGGTGGTCAATTAACCCGAAATCGGATGAAGATATATATGGGAGCTATATCCAAATCTGAACCGATTTCGATAAAATTTAAAACAGCTATTTCTGTGCTCCTTCTAATACCTGGTACCAAATATCACGGTTGTGGAGTGCATAGTAGGAATGTGAGGGACTTAAAGATCAAATCGGATGAAAGATATATATGGGAGCTATAGCTATATCTGAACCGATTTTCTCCAAATTAGATATACTTGCTTCTAGGCCGAACTCGGTTGGGTGTACCAAAATTCAGGTAATTTGGACTGATAGTGGATATTTGGTGCACATTTAACCCGAAATCGGATGAAGATATATATGGGAGCTATATCTAAATTTGATCCGATTCTCATCAATTTCAATAGGGTTCGTCCTTGGGCCAAAAAAATATTGTTTGGAAAATTTCATCTCAATCGGATAATAAATGCGACCTACATTTTGTTCACAAGAATACATGGACGGACGGACGGACGGACAGACGGACTGACATGCATATATCGACTCAGAAAGTGATTCTATGAAGGTTCTCAAAAGTAACTATGGGTCTATCTCGTTTCCTTCTCCATGTTACAAACAAATGCACAAAGACTATGTGGTGTAGGGTATAAAAACTAAGGTTGCAAAAACTACTCTCGAAATGGACCTTTGTGGGTGCATTTTAGCCGTCCATTGAGTCCGATGCGTCCGAACTTTAAAGGCCGATTTCCGAAACCAACCTACCTTTACGGTAGACAAGGCTTCTGCAAATTTCGAAGATCTTTAAGAAAAAAATTCTGGAGGGTGTATTAAAGCCTTGGGCACGCAAACATTTTGGCCATAGACTGTGGACATTCCAACAGGACTCAGCACCATCGCACGCGCCACCCAAGAATGGTTACACAATGAGGTTCCTCGCTTCATCATTCAGTGCACAATGGTCACCAAAATCTCCGGATACCAATTCCTTGGACTATTGAGTCTGGAGTATTTTTGAAAGCAAGGCACTAAAATATACCTCAAGCAAGCGCTTCGCCGGGAATGGGCCAAAATACCGCAGAACCATTCGGGCAGCGTGTGATGGTTTCATTTGCCGTTTGAAGGTCATGATTCGTGCGAAAGATGACCAATTCGAACAAATCTAAACTTATTCTAAGGTTTGATGTTTTTCCGACATATTTTTGCTCTCATTCAATTAAATTAAAAAAAAAATGAAAAATTAAGGCGTTTGGCTTTGTAACAGTTGTTTATCTCACCCTGTATATTGTTGTGAACTGAACTTGATTGGAGCTGATCGTAAAAGTCAAAATTGCATAAAATATTTGCAACTGAAATTTAAATTGTGCGGCCCATAACAGCTACATTTTACGAAACAGGAAACTGGTAACAATTTTGTTATTCGTAAATGAAGGTTGCAAATCAGCATTAAATATCAGAAAAATATTGTTGCTATTATACAGCGATAAGTCAGAGCTATATCTTTGAATTATTTTCGAAATTCGTATGTAGAGGAAACGGAAAGGTCTTGAAGATACAAAATTGTTCAACAGAACAGTGTTGGCTTTTTTATTTGGGATACCGTAGTATTTTGTTGTTGCAAAATGGTCAGGCTTAATCCCTTTATTGTTGTTTTTGTAAAAACAACGTTTGTTTATTAGTGGAGAACGATGGTAATGTTTACCAGGGGGTAAGGCAGGATGGATGATGGAGCGATCGTTAAGAGCTATGACTTTAGAATTTTACATTAGGTTCACTCGTTATATATAGACGAGTAATACGAAGCGATCTATAAGGGGTGGATGGATGAGCTCGCAATTTCATATTTTAGGAGTACGAAATTTTGCGTGGGGGCTACTCTTTGCATGAGATATCTTGTAACTAGAAAAAATTACCCATTTCACATAAAATATGTAAAAAAATGACATAGGGGAGAGGCTGGACGACCCTTCGTCTCTAAAGTAGCGGAATTTTAATATTATATCGAAGAAATTAATCCATTAATTGTTAAGGACTTACTTTAAAAATTGGTTCCATTATAAACTTTTAGCCCGCCTTCATTTTTTAAAAACTCAGTTATTACTCCTCCCCTTAACCTAACACCTGTTGTAAATACACTTGTCACACAAAACTACATATGCCCAGACCGAGTCCCTTCCGAATGTAGATTTTTTCCTTTATGAAAGTTTTCCTTTTTTTGTAAAGTTTTATTTATAAAGAATTAAAACAAACATCTCTCTTTAATCCTCTCTTTTGTGAAAATCTCTGAAAATGACAATGAAAACTTGGAACCCCTAAATCTATGGCCCGTATACACTTGATATGTTCACATACACGTATAGGCTCTGGTAAGTAAATTTCAAGTATCTAATATTAAAATCCCCATTTTCAGTCTAATTCAAAAAAAAAAAAAATAGAAATGGGATTAAAGCTCTTTTGAATATTTTGATTTTCTTTGTATGCATATCCTTTTATTTTCCGTTCAAAGTCACTGTGCATACGCTTTTAATATTTATTTTTGTTTTGAAAAAAAGCTGTTCATTTTTTATAAAAATCTCATCAAAATTTTTAACTTTACCCATTTTAGGCTCCCGATGGCGATGTACAACCCAGCACCGAGGTGGATCTATTCATATCCACCGAAAAGATAATGGTCCTGAACACCGACCTCAAGGAGATCATGATGGATCATGCACTGCGCACAATTTCCTATATCGCCGACATTGGAGATTTAGTCGTATTAATGGCCCGCCGCAGATTTGTGCCTCAGGACATCGATGATGCCCCCAAACCGAATCGAACACCCAAAATGATTTGTCACGTCTTCGAGAGTGACGAAGCCCAATTCATAGCCCAGTCGATTGGGCAAGCCTTCCAGGTGGCCTACATGGAGTTCCTTAAAGCGAATGGAATTGAAGATCATCGTTTTGTTAAGGAAATGGACTACCAGGAGGTGTTGAATAGTCAAGAGATATTCGGTGATGAATTGGAGATCTTTGCCAAGAAGGAACTGCAAAAAGAGGTGGTGGTGCCCAAGGCAAAGGGCGAGATACTGGGTGTGGTCATTGTCGAGTCGGGTTGGGGCTCAATGCTGCCGACGGTGGTTATAGCGAATCTAATGTCCTCGGGTGCAGCGGCTCGTTGCGGCCAATTGAATATTGGCGATCAGCTGATTGCCATCAATGGCTTGAGTTTGGTCGGCTTGCCGCTGTCCACATGCCAGACATATATCAAAAATACCAAAAATCAGACTGTAGTCAAATTCACCGTGGTGCCCTGTCCCCCCGTGGTGGAGGTGAAAATCAAGAGACCCGAAACTAAATATCAGCTTGGTTTCAGTGTACAAAATGGTGTGGTATGTATCGAGTGGCTGGCTGTTGTTTTATTTGAGAGAATATGTTATATATAATGAGTATTGTTTTGTTTGCAGATTTGTAGTTTATTAAGAGGCGGCATAGCTGAAAGAGGTGGCGTGAGAGTGGGCCATCGTATTATTGAAATTAACAACCAAAGTGTGGTGGCAGTACCTCATGAGAAAATTGTAAATCTTTTGGCCACTTCTGTTGGTGAGGTAAGTAAAGTTGTCCTGTTATTTAAAAATCAGTGTATATAAATGATGTAGCGATGAAAAATATAGAAAAGGACCAAAGTCAAGCAGATCCGACAGAAAATTATCCGTTGTATCCGAAGCACATTGGAAATACACCAAACCGGATATAACGGCAATTCTATGCATTTTACGGCTTTGGAGCGGTTGAACTTTGAATTTGGATAGAACTAATATTTTCGAGCTATATCTTAATTTGAAGCCATTGCCACTTAAATTCAGGGATATATTTTTCTGCTTTGTGGAACCTTTCGAAACATATTGCATTTCTATAGCATCGACGAGGGAGGGTTAATAAGAAATTAGGATATTGGTTGATGTCAGTCTTCAGAAAGTTGATGATTTGAAGATTAAAGGTAATCTAAGTTGAATTGGAGAATCGTTGTCTTATCATTCGGGTTTGGATGTGGGAGCAAAATTACTTGTACTAAGAGGTCCGAACCGGGATCGAGACAAACATCGCACCATGGTTCTGCTCCGCTTGCCATCCACCTCGTAAGATACTAGGATGCATGGAGTGGATGCTTTTCCGGAACAGATCCGGTTTGAACCGGTTACAGGAGTATAGCAATATAGACCCCAGTAAGTCATCATGTTGATCGTTCACTCCCCCAGAATACAGAGAATATGCCGGAGCTTCAGGTAATTGCCCAACCCATCTGATTTTAAGGTAGCAGATCATAAAAGCTGCAGGCGCTCGCTACATACCTGTTGGTCAAATATCTAAAATAAAATCTAACTTCTAAGCAAAAGCAGCCGAATTAGCAAATGGGTGAGATAAACTTCGTCGTACTAACCCCAATAATCCCAAAGTTAAGGAGTAAACAAGTTAGTTTGCAAATATAAGCGGAAAAAGTGTCTAGAACACCTGAAGCATTGCAACGTCAGTTACGCTTCGAGTAACTTGGGGCCAACGGTTAAGTCGCTCTCGAACTCTGGAAAAAATAATGATTGGATATATGTATCATTTAACGGCGTAGAAGTAACAGATCAGAAGAGACCCAAACCGGCAATTTATAGAGCACCCCGAGAGTGAAAGGATAAGAGAAAAATTGTACGCCGCGTACAATACAAAAACCAACTTCCGCCCAAGCATGTTAGGAAAGACCTTCATGATCTAGAGAGAGAGAGAGAGAGAGAGGTACAGCGATATACGAGAGTGTCTCTGCATTAATAAATCTATCAAGCAGGTCTGAATGGTATTCACTCTGAAGTCATTAAAGTATATAAAGTGAATACCGTACTCAGAGTGAATACAGTTCAGTTGAAAAACTGCTTTCTCGCTAGGAGATCCAGAGAGTCAAAACTAGAGTATGGCCCTCAGAAGAGATTTGGGAATACATCTTCTTATGGTCCGAAAAGAAGCCGGTTTACTCTGAAGAGTTTCTGGCTTTGTCTGTGCTTTAGGATCCGACTCGTGCTCTACAAAACCGTAGCTCTCCGGAAGGATATTTCTGTCCACCAAGGGTCTGCGATTGGGTAAGTGCGGTAAGTTCTTTCGAACTTATCCACATATCTCAGCTTGGTTTTGATATATAGTCTTGGATTGCAAATACGGATCCCTACTATAAATTAAAATCACAAACTATTCTGAGGCAAGCCCCTGATCGTTTCATTTTCATTTATTTCCATCAATTCATTAAACAATTTAAAAATATCTTATGAGATAACAATAGTTCTTATATCTACTTAGCATAATTTCTTATTTTTCTAAGTTTATCTAATTACTACACTTTTTGATCTCAGCCATGCTGATACCTATCTATATACTTATATATCTATAAACTTATAATTATGATTATAATTAATATGATCTCATAAAAAAAGATGTTTAAAAAAAGGAGTCCCTAACATTTTGATTTTTAATTCTTACAACTAATTAAATCTACTCTTAAAAATACTTATTTTCTAAAGTTAAAACTACTTATAACTACTTAATCTAATAACTAATCTACTATTTACAATATGTACAATGGATGCTACACCGGCTATTGCGATACCTTATAGACGGGGTTTTCTAACGCGAGCGTCCCAAACCTTCGATGATAGAAGAGGAGATGGTCTTCTCTGTAGAGAAGACCCTCTTCATTCATCGTTAGTATACTGCTCGGTGGCCTATAATTGGCCCGAGCTAGCCTGTCCATGTCTGTTTCATGTTCAAGGCTTTCTCTTACTAACCTGTTATCAACTGATGCGGCTCTGTCTAGGCACTTTAGAGCGCTAGCCATAAGAAATTTATCTATACGGCTAAAGTCGATCGATTCGTAAATTACCCTGTTGGGAGGTAAACGCCAGGTTCCATCTTCACCCTGGGTTCGTCTGAGGCAAGCCCCTGCAAACCAAACACTATATGAGACAAGCATCACCAAGTTAACGAGAATTATTTACATTACGAAGTAAACCGACCGATTATCATCAATTTTTTTAGAGTTCGTCTTTTGGCAAAAAATGAATTGAGTCGGACAATAAATGTCACTTGTTATTTAACTTCCAAAATAGATAGATCGGACAGAATTGATAACAGAATCAGTGTTGCCACGGGGACTATAGGTCTTTCTCGTTATACCCTACACCGCATAGTGGTAAAGGTATTATGTCTTTGTTCATTTGTTTTCAACATGAAGAAGGAAGAAAAATATACTCATAGTTATTTTTGAGTATCTTCATAGAATCACATTCTGTATCGATTTATGCATGTCAGTCCATCCGTCCTTCCATGTATTCTTGTGAACAAAATGCAGGTCGCATTTATTATCCGATTGAGATGAAATTTTCGAGACAATATTTGTTTGGCCCAAAGACAAATCCTATTGAAATTAGTGAGAATCGGTTCAAATTTGGATATAGCTTCCATATATATCGATTTCGTGTTAATTGTGCACTAAATTGCCAATATCAGCCCAAATGACCTGAATTTTGGCACATCCGACCGACTTGAGTCTTGAAGAAATTACATCAAATTTAATGAAAATCGGTTCAGATATTGCTATATCCTCCATATAAATGTTTCATCCGATTTGGTGTTTAAATCCCACTTATAAGTAATATTCACTCCATAAAATTGATATTTGGTACCCGCCCAGAAATATCTCTGCCAAATTTTATCAAGATCGGTTGAGATTTGGATAAAGCTTCTATATATATATATGTCTCCAACCGATTTCGGGTTAATTGTGCACCAGATGGCCAATATCAGTCCAAATGTCCTAAATTTTGTCACATCCGACCTAATTCGACTTAGAAGCAAGTACATCAAATTTGGTGAAAATCAGTTCAGATATAGCTATATCTCCCATATATATGTTTCATCCGATTTGGTCTTTAAGTCTCTCACATTCGTAGTATGCATTCGACAAGAATGATATTTAGTACCAGATGTCTTATAGAGCTACCTTTGCCAAATTTTACCGAGATCGGCTAAGATTTGGATATAGCTCTCTAATCCGATTTCAGGTTTATTGTGCAAATATTGGCTATTTTATCAGCCGGAATGGAGTGAATTTCGGGTTGTATGTTTCCATTTGGTGAAACTCGACACCGATATATATTACTTCTCAAGTGATATCATGTAACCTACCCTAGCCCTAGCAATGTTATTTGGCATAAAACATAAAAATGTCTCTGTCAAATTTGGTGAAAATCGAATCAGAATTGCATATGCCTCCCTCGAATCGAATTGGATAGTTCCCTCTGAAATCGAATTATAACTACTCTAAAGCCAAATGTTGATAGATGGTATGATCTGTTTCAAATAAATTCTTTTTTTTAATGGGCGCTCTCCCAAATAAGCATAGTGGTGTCGGGTATTATATAGTCGGCCCTGGCCGACTTTTAACTTTTCCTTACTGGTTTTCCCTTGAATGTTACGAAAGTGTTCAAAGTAGTCTTTCCCACAATATATGCATAAGTAGTGGTAAGAGAGGCAAGGGAGAATCGAGAGAGAATAATTGTGCTTTGTTTATACTTTTTCGTTCGAGGGTGCCAATAGCTTATTCAAAGGCATAAGACCCTTTTCCATAGTGTGGTGAAAGGTATACAAACCACACCTCGAGCCGCCAACCAAACTTTAACAAATTTTAAAACTATTACCTATGGATTTTATAAACAATATAATAATAATTTATTCCTTGTTTCTCAACTAATTTTTATTTTTTCCCCTTTTCTATTCCAGATTCTAATGAAAACAATGCCTACATCAATGTTCCGCCTGTTAACCGGTCAGGAGAATCCAATTTATATATAAATAAGATGAAATTTAAGAATATATAACAAATTAAATAATTAACTTTAAGAAAACAAAGAAATATATAACCACAAACCAAAAAAAAAAACAAATAAAAATAATAAATAAAACGAAAATACCAAAAAATAATAACAAACCAAAAGCGTAAAACACACACACAAAAACAAATGTATCTCGAATCTATAACTAGTCTAACAAAAAACAAAAAAAAAAACAAATAAATATAATTTATATTTTATTAACAACAAAACCTATAGTAACTGTCTTTAAAAAAACAACAAATATTTATAATTTGCTAAAACAAAACTTTCTTTCTTTAGAAGACAAACAAAATATATAAAAATTCATAAAACAAAAATGAAATAATAATTGTAAATCTAAAAAAAAAACAAATATGAGACAAAATTATATAAGATTTATTTATTATAATAATATATATACAAAAAAAAAACAAAACAAATTATAAATATATATAAATAATTATATACTATATATACATATTGAACAAAAAAATAAATAAATGAAGAAAAAAGAATAATAAACTGTTAACTATTAAAAAAAATGAATTGATTGAAATCAATAGCAGATTGAAAATTGAAAAACAAAAGAAGACATTTAGTATTATCTTTAAAAAATGAATTGCAAACATTAAACTAAGCGTAACGTGTATTTTTGCGAAACAAAAAAACTCTATCTCCTTCTCTCTTTCTATTTATCTTTGTATTGTCATTTATTTATGAACAAATCGTATATTCTTGTGTTTGAAAACCACCAAAACAAATATGTATTTATTCCAAATTATAAGTATATTTAAAAAAAAATATTTACTCTAAACATATATGTACGGGGTGAACTCGGAATGTGTGCATACAAATGAAGTGCATGAAAAATCAGGAGTCCTCCTCAGGAAAATGTAGCTGAGTTTGGGATATCTGCTATAGCAGTTGTAAATGTGTATAGTATTGTGATTTGGCTTTATTAATATATAACGATTTCACAATGTTTTAAAAATTTGAACGTGAGAGAGAAAATTCTCTTAGAACATGTTATAGAGTAATTTTTGATTGGGAAGCTATCCCGCACACCTAAAATATAATTAGAGGCATAAATTTAACCAATTACCATAATTTCTTATGAGGCAAATTGCTTACAAAAGCTTTGCTGAGGAGTCTGCAAGATATTTTACTTTTATCGCTTTTTCTAGAAGCTGTCAATATTTCAAAAAAAGCTTAAAAATATTGGGGGCAAACTTAAAAGATAACATGCAACAATGTTGGTCTGTGGCGCTCCTTTTAAAAAGCTAAGGGTTTTTGTAACAGGTGTTAATCTTCACTGAACGAGACTCCGAACTCATACATTGAAAAGCCAATACACCGAAAACGAGTCACTGTTTGGTGCGTATTATGGCCAAGAGCCGTAATTGAGTATTTTTATTTTTTATACCCTACACCACAAGGTGGTCAGGGTATTATGTCTTTGTGCATTTGTTTGTTCAAAGTTTTGAATAATTACATCTCTGATAGAATGCGAAATAGCCATCAGATTAAATGTCAGTGAATATGGTAGATATCGGCCCACCTAAGGGTGGTATTCAAACTTGGTATATCTCAATATTTCTCTCAACTAGAGATCTGACTTGAATATGGTATTTACGGGCTTTTGTGATAAGTTCAAATATATTTTAGTAAAATGAGAGTATACATCTGCGTCTGCAATATCGACTGATTAATTTTAACTTATTATTCCAAATGTTAACCCTTTGTGCGTGTCAAGTACCTGATGGAGTGGGCGGATATTGTTCGTTTTTGCACCTAACCTAGCATTGAGAAAATATATTGAGATTGGCAAAGCTTTTTTGGGGGAGGCTCCAGAAGGAGTGAACCAGTGTTGCCCATCTCCGAACTAGCATTAAATCGGATATACCCTTCGAGAGACAGACAGACAGACGGACATCTCTAGATCGACTCCAAATGTCCTGAAACGGATTTTGTCCAAAGCGTCCAAAGCCAAGAGTAAGAGCCGAGTTTACCTCCTGTGCGAACTTTTTAAAGGGTTCTTACATAAAACCTGTCGAAAAAATCTGTTAGTTTCATGAAAACCAATTTAACTCGACTTTGGGGAACTGCCTCATTTTCCATTTTCGGTTGCCTTGGAAAAACCCACTTTTAACGTTTTTTTTATACCCTACACCACATAGTGGTAAAGGTATTATATCTTTGTGCATTTGTTTGTAACATGGAGAAGGAAGCGAGATAGACCCATAGTTACTTTTGAGGATCTCCATAGAATCACTTTCTGAGTTGATTTATGCATGTCAGTTCGTCTGTCCATGTATTCTTGTGAACAAAATTCAGGTCGCATTCATTATCCGATTGAGATGAAATTTTCCAAACAACATTTTTTTGGCCCAAGTACGAACCCTATTGAAATTGGAGATAATCGGTAAAAATTTTGATATAGCTCCCATATATATCTTCGTCCGATTTTCCTTTTATTGAGCACCAAACGTGTAATATCAGCCCGAATAGTATGGAATTTTGCACATGCAGCCAAATTAGTCCTGAAAATAAGTATGCCAAATTTGATCGAAATCGGTTCAGATATAGCTGTAGCTCCCATATATATTGTTCATCCGATTTGTTATTTTGTCCTCCGCAGCCGTAATATGCTCTGTAACAACAATATTTGGGAAAATATATCAAATGCAGCTCAGAAATACCTTTGCTAAATTTTATCGAGATCGGTTCAGATTTGGATATAGCTCCCATATATAACTTCGTCCGATTTACTTTTATTGTACACCAAACGTCTAATATTTGCCAAATGAGATGGAATTGGCACATGCGACCGAATTGAGTCTAGAAGCTAGTATGCCAAATTTGGAGAAGCTATATAGCTCCCATATAAATTGTTCATCCGATTTGTTGTATTTGTTACCCACAGCCGTAATATGCACCCCATAACAACGTTATTCAGGGAAATATATCAAATACAACTCAGAAATATCTTTGCCAAATTTTATCAAGATCGGTTCAGATTTGGATATAGCTCCCATATATATCTTTATCTGATTTCAAATTATTTTGCACAAAATGGGCAATACATTTCCGAATTTAAAAGATACAAATGCTTCGGCATATTTAGTCCTTTGACCTTTAAATAATAATTATAATCATAGCGTGTATGATTAAATTATCCCATAAAAACTTTTAATTGTTATGTGGAGCTCTACTAAATTAGCATAGTGGTGTAGGGTATCGGCCCCGCCCGACTTTAGGACTTTCTTTACTGTTTTTTTTTTTTTTTTTTTTTTTTTTGCAAGTTAGTTACATTTGTCACTACTGGATCTCGGCACTTATAGACATATAATATATGGCTAAACTGTAGCGCTTTTTTTCTTAAAAGGATAATTTGTGTAGGGCAGACTATATGACATTAAAGAATCTTGAGTTTTCCTCTATTATATTTTGGGGAAGGCTCTCTAGCTGAATCTGCAGTAAGTGGGATTAAAAATATGATATTAAACATTTTTTCCAATTTTCTTGAATATTTTTAAGGGGGAAACTTTTGTCTGCACATTTATGGTGCCACCACACATTTTCGTATTCGGACATAAAATGAAAAGGCTGCGGTTCAGATGTTTAGCCCCAATTAATTAAAGTTTATTCAAAGTCAGCGGTTAATTATCTCCAATCAGCAAAGGCAATTTTCACTTCCGAATCTCAATGTCAATCTTAAGAGGTTTTATCTATGACCGTGTCACAGATTTTCAAATCTCGTCAAAAATATTTCATATAAGATTCTTTACGGATTTTAGACCATTCATATTAAATAAAATGAAATTATGAAGAAAATGCAGACTTTTGCAGGACTGTAGTCAGATGTTTATCCTTTTTCAAATCAACTAAAACTTTGAAAATTTAAAAACAGATGTTGAGAAAGCGACGATCGATTCTTTCCAAATATCTCAAGAGCTGCCAACTCTCCATTTGATTTATTACACACCGCATTCGCATACACATATCTGAGGTTATTCCGTATAAAATGAAAGCTACATGCCTAGACGTCCATAAATAGAGCTAGAAAAACAAAACCAAGCAACAACAAAACCTATATATAACTAAAACCCTCCCCAACAAGAACAACAAAAATCGAATTGATTAAATATGCTTTAGTAACAAATTTAAAATGTAACGATATATTATTATTATTATTACTATTATAACTATTATTAGGTAGTTCCGGTTCTATATATTTCACACCTACAATCAAACATCAACACACACAGAAAAAAACAACTAACTACACCCCCTCACACACACCATAATGAAAAGTCCTCTACCAATGGAAATTTACTTTGTATTCAAATTGATCACACCAACAACAAAACAAAACTAATCTAAACTAAACTTGTACTCAACAGCAACAACTACAAAAATATCAATGAAATCCAACCAAATAAACACTCGCTTGATTATATACATACATATAAATAAACAAAAAGAAAAACCAAAAATTGAATAAAATTAATAAATAAATATTTAACAAAAAAATAAATTGAATTAATTGTATCCTTGTTTTATTTTTGCCATTAAATCCTTTGGGGGCTAACTCCATATATTTATCTATATTTAGCATATATAGAGAAAATATGTATTTACACATTGCACTATGGGTTTTTTTACGTTTATTTTGGCATAAACTCTAATTTCAAAGCTATGGAATTGAAATTTGGTTTGTATGCATTTTTTATGCTTCCAAGATGACCTACCAATTTTCATATGATTTGGGGCACTATTTCATATAGCTGCTATATAGCCGATCTGGCCGATCGGCTATGTTGATTTGGAGAAACATACTGCTCATTCATTACAATAATTATACTTTTGCTAAGCCATTTTGAATGTTTAGTTTTAAATCGCTCTAGTTTACGGATGCACTTTGGCAAATGCTTTTTTATATAATTAACAAAATTTTTAACTTGTTTTGATATCAAACGCATTTGGTCTTCATTTAAAGTGATATTATTGATATTCTGTACCACATATTTTACTAGTGCATCTTCTGAGCGATTGTTGCTGCTCCAAATTTCAATAAGCGCTGCATGGGCAAACACGTGTTTATCTGCAAAACACGTGTTGGCACAAAATAGAACAAAAAAGGCTAGTTACTCATTAATTAACACACTTTTGTTAATAACTTGGCATTTATACCTTTTTGCAATGCTTTGCCATTCACAAGTTACACTCCACGGAACACAACTACAATTTATAGATTTTATATAAAGCTATACCTAAACGAAACAATTCACAGTATTACAACAACAGACAATTATGACAAAAAGGGCACCTCGTCTTAATTTTACATACCTGCACTAACGTTTTCCATAATTACACATTTTATTTTTTTCAATTTTGTCAAATCAGAAGCACTTGAACTTAGCTGATCTTTACCGCCAGTTGTACCAAAACAAAGTGACTTTCAAACAGCTGACTTTAAAAGCTCGCCAGCAAAAAAGGGTTGCCACCCGTATTGATATTAAACTTTTTTTTTCTAATATGGGTATATTCATTTAGGAAATCAGTTAAATTTCAAAATATGAAACCAAAAAAAAATGACTTTATGCCAAAAAATCATGCTTTTTACCCATAGTGCATTGGAAGAACCGATAACAATAACATTTACAAATACAACAACACAAATCAACTGCGCCACAATATTTTTTTAGAAAACAAACGCCAACCAATTTTAATGACCTTTTGCGAATGGAAATTATTAGCGTCCTTTATAAAATAAAAAAAAAACAAATCTACAAGATTAGCTTTGTTATTTAGTTGCAAAATTGCAAAACTAATGGAAAATTATACCCCTACCTTATATTCTTCCCTTTCTATATTCAAAACCCCATTTAGCATAAGATTTTCCATAAAAACGGTTTGTTGCAATTTATTGAAATAACTTATTCCATATTAAAAAAAAATGTTTCAATTTTAGTTTTATAGTTCTATATAGGTTTCTAAATATTTCATTAGTATTCAAATAAACTACATGACAACAATATCTGAAAAACAGATCAATTCACTTTCCATACAACTTGAAATTGCATAGGATGAGGATCAAGAACAGAGTATATTGCCATAGTGATGAGGTGAGTATTTTTGTAGCGGTCGTCGAATACTATTTGTACCTAAAACCTTGGTGTTCGCCATTTTAGCTCAACTCTCAGTAAAATACTTGTTAGTATTCAAGTAAAAAAGCAACTGAGTTCTTGAAAATTTAAAAAACAAATCCGAAAAGTATCACTTAATTGAAAACTGATATATGGGGACTATACGAAAACGTGAACTTGCTTACGAATTTTTTGTCATATGCTGTAGTACCCATTGCGAACTTTAATTACGAAATTTGTTATAATTCCGGTGCATAATGTCGCAAAAATCATCAAAATACCGACTGTCGGGAGGTGCCGATATACGGGGGCTATACAAAGACGTGAACGAGCGTACGAAATTTTTTTGTCATAGGTTGTAGTACCCGTTACGAACTTCAATTGCGAAATTTGAAATAATTCCAGTAAATAACGTCGCTAATAGCATGAAAATACCGATTATCGGGAGGTACCGTTATATGGGGGCTATACAAAAAAGTGGATCTACATTTACGAACTTAACTTGCCTACTGGTAAACTATGCATGTATGCAAAATGTTAGCCTTCTATCTCAATTTGTTCGAAAGATAGCGTGACGCTAGATCGTCTTAGAATTTTACGCTGATCCGGAATATATATACGGAATATAGGGTATATTATGAATGTTTCGAAAAATTACAAATGGAATGACAAAGCTAATATAGCCTCTATAGAATTGTGGAGGATATAAAAAGCAGCTAATTTCGGCCGGTCCGAACTTTAAATACCCTCCACCATTTTGAAGGAACTTGAAAAATGTCAAAAAAAAACAGGTGAACTTTTTAGTAAAGTATATGATTTATAAATATGATTTATCAAAGGATATATATGATTTATCAAAGGATTTTTGGTAATTCGAACCATAAATGCACGAAAAGTACTAAAATGTACAATATTTGGTACCATTTCGTAAAGAAAGGTACTGAATGGTGCTAAACATGGTATTGCATGAACGGGTACTGCTTGAAGTCTGACATTGGGCATTAGGACCACTGTTTGTGGTTTGGTTGATATTTGGCATGAGATGTGGAATACGTTCTAAAGGTCCAGTTGTGTACGAAAAAAATTTAAAAACCAGTAATGAAAGTCTTAAAGTCGGGCGGGGCCGACTTTATGATACCCTACACCACTTTGCTAATTTAGTAGAGCTCCACATAACAATTAAAAGTTTTTATGGGAGAATTCAATCATACACGCTATGATTATAATTATAATTTAAAGTTCAAAGGACTAAATATGCCGAAGCATTTGTATCTTTTAAATTCGGAACCATTTGGTGCACAATTAATTTGAAATCGGATAAATATACATAAGGGAGCTATATCCAAATCTGAACCGATCTCGATAAAATTTGGCAAAGATATTTCTGAGCTGTATTTGATACATTTCCCTGAATATCGTTGTTACGGAGTGCATATTACGGTTGTGGGTAAAAAATATAACAAATCGGATGAATAATATTTATGGAAGCTATAGCTATATCTGAACCGATCTTCATCAAATTTGACATACTAGCTTCTAGACTCAATTCGGTCGTAAGTGCCAAATTCCATTCCATTTGAACAAATATTAGACGTTTGGTGCCCAATTAAAGGTAAATCGGACGAAGTTATATATGGGAGCTATATCCAAATCTAAACCGATCTCGATAAAATTTAGCAAATGTATTTCTGAGATGTATTTGATATATTTCCCCAAATATTGTTGTTGCAGAGTGCATATCACGGCTGTGGGTAACAAATATAACAAATCGGACGAACAATATATATGGGAGCTATAGCTATATCTGAACCGATCTTCACCAAATT